CTTAAGTACTCCTGATAAAATTCAACTGCCTCTCTACTTATGTACCTTTCAGTAATGCAACACTCAGGTTGACTTTTATTTTTTACATACCCTTTTGGAACCTTCATATTACACTCAATAGAGTACATCTACCTTAAAAAAGCTAGGCCACACTTTTTAACTTTCTTAACCAAGTGAATAGTTAAGTGAACCATTATCTCAAAGAATTCAATAGAAAAATGCATCGTGACCTCACGTAAAGTCCCTATATTTTGGCATTGCAAACTTTCTAACTTTATGGGGTTTGTTACTTTACTACAAATCAAATTGAAGAAGAATCATAGTTTAGTGATTGTAGCTCACACTTCATTTAGTAAAATTAAGTGTATGCCCATTGAAATAAAGTTTTCCACTTACACATGGCAATCACATGTTTTTTAAACCCTTAAGCTTCAAGTCCTTCATAGACATAAGATTTCTAATGTTAGAAGAGAAACGCTTTGGAACTTTAACCCTAACTAAAAACTAACAAAATTTGTTTTTCTTTTTTAGAAAGTGTGTGTGCTATTAGATGAAGGTACGTATGACTTCTCCTCTCGTCTGATGCCAAGTCTTCCTTATTCCCATAGCCACCATTTCTAACATCTCAGTAATGACATCTTTGGTGTAAGATCTTCCTTACTAATTCACAATTAACTCCAAAATCAAGATAATCAAAGGACTAACCTAAATGAATTATCAAGTTTGTAAAATTTATATAAATGTGATCCTAAGTTTTCAAAACTTAAAATGTTATAAAAACACTTCATAAACTAAAATCAAAGCCAAACCAGTATATAGAAGCATGGACATTATACAAAGTAAGATAACATCAAACTAGGGTTCAAAAAAGCAAAAATAGTGATTCTAACACAATACATTATCATAACATTTGGTCTTACATTCATTCTCATATTTTAAACCAAATGGATTTTGACAAAATCAAATTATTTACACATTTGATGCTATTTTAACCTTGGCTATTTAAATCTTTTAGAATGAAAAAATGTTCATTCATATTTGGTTTCAATGTGTCATAAGTACATTTTGCTATATTTCTACAATGTCACTATCTATTTTTTAAAATTGAATTCCTTTAACTCCTTGTGTGAAAATTAGAATCAATCCCTTGAGATAACTAAGCTAGTACACTAAGTACTTTATCAACTTATCACAAAATGGTGTCACTAAGGGAGAAGAATCATCTTGAAGGAGAAATTCGTAAATCAAAAATATCAAGAAGTCTCATGTTCATATTTCTCCATTAGAGGGAGAAAATTCTAAAATAAGGCCACCTTGATGTAGTTATATAGGGAAGAAGTCAAATTCAGATTTCAAATTTCTCCACATGACAAATAAGAGAAGAAGTCATATTTAAGGGGAAGCTCTAAACCTTATCTTATTCTTGTACTGCCTTGCATATACTTCAAAGCCTTTTTGTTAATGACAAATAGGGGGAGAAGTTATCATAACAAATATGATTTTCTAAACACTTAATTTCTATCAAATAAGTATATTTTTCATAGGTGATTTGTCATCATAAAAAAAGGAAAGATTATTGGACATAATGGCTTGTGACATTATATTTAGTTTAAGTTTTGATGATGACAAATATAGATGAATTAACTATATGCATAGTACCATAAACTTTATAACTGTACTTATATATATATATATATATATATATATTAATACTTAGACTAACTATTTTGTTCGTGATATATCATTTAAGATTGTCCAAAGTAAAGATGAGAGTGAACATGAAGAGAAAGAAATGAAATACATCATTAGCATGCATGCCGTACTCAAGATGAGACTACATAAAGAGAAGTATAATTCAAGAAGAGCTTAAAAAGATTGAAGACATCCATACAAACTTGGATGCATCTTGAAAGCCTTGGACTTGATAGGTATAATATCATTAGACTAGAAGCCTTTATGTTGAACTTATTGATTTAGATATGTAATATTGGCTCAAGATATTTTAAATCAAAACATGCATTTTTGCTTTTGAGAGAAAGAGTGAGATATATTTTTTTTACAATCATATTTTTTATCTTTGATCATATATATCTCACAACATTAGTAACTCCATAAAATTTTCAAAGCTAGTCTATTTATTCAAAATAGAGTTAAATTGAAAAAAGTTATGAACATTTGAAGTTTAAACTTTAAAATGAGAATTGTGAAGAAAATCAGATTTGACCTTTGGTAATATTTCTTATCATATCTCTCATTACATATATCATCTTAATATGAATCATATCTCATATGAAAATAGACTCAAACTGTTTTTCAATTATAGCTTATTTATTCAAAATGGAGTTCTATTGAGAAATATATGAGTTTTAAAAGTTGAGTTTTGAGATATTGATTCTACATAGCATTTAGAGTTGACTTTTATTAACTCTTTTGATCATATCTCAAAAGTTACATTGAATTTAAGTGTGAAACTTTTTTAATTAAAAACTAGACTTCAAGAGCTTTCCAATAATATATAGTTTGTTATATTTGAAGTTGTATTGAGTGAGTTATAGTCTTATGAAATTCTATGCAGTGGTATCCTTCAAAACACACATGAATGAAAGAGGGACACATGTGTGAAATGTCCTTAAAAAGCTTCAGTGTCCAAATCACGCGTGAATCACTTTCCATACATATGTGAAATGTCACCTAATATGTTGACTCAATAGCTTTTGTGGTCAAAATCAAGCGTGAATCACTTCCTATCCACGCGTGATTTGTCACCTATGTAATACAACATGATATTTCAAGCGTGATTTATTACATTTCAAGTGTGATTTGTTACCCATGCTTATGAAATGTCTATTTCACAGTGAATAATTTTTGTTCCACACGAGAAATGTTATCAACGGCTATAATCATTATGCAACAATTATAAACATTCACATTATGTCTCCAACACCTATTTTACTTCATAGGCTATAAATATAACACTTCAAAACTTATCTTAATCAAGTAATTAAGGTAAAAATATCAAGTTATGAAATTCATGTTCATATTACTCTTATTATATGAAAATTATTATTCTTGAGCCCATATCATTTATATCTTCATTATTTGAGTATTAGAACTTTATTGTACTCATCATTGCTCTTAGAGAGAGTTTTAACTGAGTGACTTACATATTCTAAATCATTGTAAATGTGAGGGAGAGATTTTTCTTGTAATCAAGAGAGGTTGTTCTCTTGAGAAAAGAAACTCACTAGTAAAGTAAGTTGCTATAAAAGCTCACAAGTGCCTAAACTAAACTTATGTTATAGTGGAGAAATCTCGTGTGATTACTTGGGGATGTGATGCAGGCTCAAGTGGTGGGGTTGAATCAGGATCAATCATAGTTTGCAATCTCTCTTTCCTTAACTCTTTATATTTCTAACAACCTAAGTTTATGCTATATTTTAGTGTATAAAATTGAATTTGATATATCTACATGCTCTTAAACTTTCACATAGAAATTGATTTTATGTAGTTATCAGAGTTTAGATTTTGAATTTACTCAAACTTTTGCCTTACAGTTTTTGCTAAAAAAAAAAATAAAAGAACCAAAATTTTTACAAACACCCAATTCACCTCTTCTTGGACGTATTGTTATATCTAACACAAACGTCTTCTCATTTGATTTGTTTATTTAAATCATATCTTTTCCTTTTATCGTCCTATAAAATTGCTGAAACGGGCGCACGCTGAACTAGTCCAGATTATCCAACGAGCATAGAGCATCTTGCCTCTGTACATTTTCGGAATATACCACCCTGCTTTTTGGCCATGGAATATACCACCCTGCTTTTTGGCCATGGAATATACCACACTTACTACTACATGATCTTGCCAAATAGTTGGTGGCAAAGGGGATGGATAAGTTTTAGTGTTTGTTTGGGATTCCATGTAATCTAAAAACTAGTTGGGAGTAATAATACATTTATGCTTACCTCCATTTTAAAATGTAAGAGAAAATAACCAATTCACATAGTTTAAGAAAATAGGTTGAGTATGATTAATGACCAATTCACATGTATCTTAAATTAAAAAAAAAATGAAATACGGCATTCCTATAGACTTTATGATGTATAATTTGAGAAAAATGTATAAATATTTTTTGAAATTTATAGTTTTTCTTATAAATAAAAAAATAGGGTAAATGATATATCAAATTACCTATTGAATTTTAGGTTTAGTAGTATTGTAAACTTTGAACTTGTTATTGTGCAAATTGTTTTCTCAATTTTTAAAAACGGTGTAATTTGGCTCTAGCCTTTAACAAAAATTAATTTTAACTATTAGTTGATTAGAAAATGATAAAAAAAGACCTCATAAATTATAGAAAAAGGCTAAAAAAATTTTGATCCTTTTTTCTAGCCGTTGTTTGTAATTTTTAGGTTCTTTGTTATAATTGTTTGACCTTTTTCTGAAATTTGTGAGGCATTTTTATATTACTTTCTAATCAACTAACTGTTAAAGTTAATTTTTACTAATGATAAGAGTCTAATTACACTTTTTTTAAAAGTTGAGGAATAATTTGTTTAATAAATAAGATTAGATTTTATTGTACTACTAGATCTAAAATTTAAGAAATAATTTGCTCATTTACCCTATAAACAAATAAATATATGATAATTTTTCCTATATTTAAAAACTTTAGGTGTATTTTTCATGATGCTCGCTAGTTTAGACGCCTCCTGCAGGACAACCGTAAAAAGGAAAAGAAAGTCAACTTGACCAGGCGACGCCATCTTGAGATTGATCTAAGCTGTAATATTATTACATAATCGATTAATGATTGATTCATTACCTGCCATGGATTATTCCCACTTCCTATACTTCCCAGAACCCCAAAAATGCTAAATTGTCTTCATTGTTTGGACACAATACAAAGGCCATTCGGCGAAAGATTCCATTCCTTTCCTGGTAAACTTAACTCACGACAAGTTATATAGTTTTCGTCTTAACACATCACACTGCAACAATATAATAGCCCCATACCACACTACCAATCTCCACAGATCCTCAGTTTCTGAGAAGCTCCTTTAATTTCCCAGTTGAAGCTGAAATCTTCACATTCATGGATTACATTAAGCCTGAAAATAATGTCACTCTCGTCGCTGTTTGGGCCATTTTTGCTGTGACATGGTACGTCTGGTTCTTCTTCTTCAAACCTAATTACAAGCTACCACCAGGTCCGCCGGGACTTCCTTTGTTCGGGAACCTTCTATCACTAGACACCGAGCTTCACTCTTATCTGGCGACTCTGTCTCAAACCTATGGTCCCATCTTCACGCTCCGACTAGGAACCAAATACGCCTTTGTCCTCACCTCCCCTTCAATGGCTCGTCAAGTTCTCAAAGACCATGACGTCATTTTCGCCAACCGAGTAGTGCCGGTCGCCGGCAAGAAAGCAGCCTACGGTGGGAGAGATATCGTTTCGAATCCTTACGGACCTGAGTGGCGAATGTTGAGAAAAGTGTGTGTATCCAAGATGCTCAGTAACCCCACTTTAGATTCCGTTTACACCCTCCGTCGCCGTGAGGTCCGGAAAACCGTGGGTTTTCTTTACAGCCGGGTCGGGTCTCAGGTTAACATAGGTGAACAGATATTTCTTACGGTGCTGAAAGTGATCACGAACATGATGTGGGGTGAGACGGTGGAAGGTGGAGAGAGGACCGTCGTCGGAGCAGAGTTCAGGGAAGTGGTGTCGGGCATTACGGAGATACTGGGGACGCCGAACGTGTCGGACTTTTTTCCCGGGTTGTCATGGTTTGACTTGCAAGGTTTAGAGAGAAAGGTTATAGTCTTGGCGAAGAGATTGGATCAGATCTTTGAGAAGATGATTGATCGGCGAATCAAGATGAATAAGGAGAGTGAGAACGAAAGAGAAGAGAGTAAGGATTTCTTGCAATTCTTGTTGAAACTCAAGGATGACCGAGACTCAAAGACACCACTCTCTATGATACACGTTAAGGCCCTTCTAATGGTATGTTTCCTTAACCTTCAATCTTCTCATTGAAAACCAATAAGCTTGATCCTAGCGGAGGAGATTAAGAAACAAGGTCTCAAATTTGCGTATACCTGTCAATGTAAAAAACTATTTTTGGAAGAGCTTACAATTGAGCTTGATAATCCTTAAGACTGACCTAGTCAGATATTAAAAATCTTTGAATTGATTTTTTTCTTAATATTTTATATTTAGATTAGTTTGTTTAAACTTATTTAAAAACTTTATTTTCTTATACTGTCTAGAAATAGTGATTTTTTTTTTTTGTTTACCCATATTTATGTTTTGAATAAAGGTGCAGTTTAGCTTTTAAAGTACCAGCACCCTAAATTATTAGTCAGCAAAATTTTGTCCTTAAAGTATTAAAAATAGAGTATGTTTGCCCTTGCTGTCAAATTTCTAATGTTAGACAATTAAAAAATGCTAACAAGAACTCCAGTGACTGTCAGGAAATTTAATAACAAGAGCAGAAATACTTCGTTTTAATTATTTTAAGAGTAAAATTATTTTGACTAATAATTTAAAGTGTTAAGTGCTCCTTGAAAAGTATTTCAAAAATAAAAATACACATTTACCCTTATTTTATTAGTATAATAAAAAACACTTCTTTCTTGAAAGTTCTTCTCAAAATAATAATCAATAGCTAATCAAAATAACATGAATAGAATTTACTAAGTTTAATCTTTTTTAAAAGCTTATATATGTATCCTAAACTTTGTCAGAGATTTATTTTCATTAAAAAAAAAATAAAAGCAGGAACAACCTAAGTACCTGACCCTCAACAAAGTAATGAGAATTTAATTTTTACTAAAATTTAATTATGTTGAAAAGTTTATGTAAATCAGATCTAAAAAAGAAAATTTTATATAAGTATCCTAAAATTTTCAGGGAGTTTTATTTTAACTAAAAAAAAATCCGGCACAACCTTACCATTAATTTTTATACGACATAATTTATTATTATTATTTTTGAAATATTGTATATATGAATGAAAATTTGGAACAGGATATGGTGGTGGGTGGAAGTGACACATCCTCTAACTCGATAGAGTTTGCGATGGCTCATATTTTAAACAACCAAGAGGTGATGAAGAGAGTCCAACACGAATTGGATAGTGTAGTGGGAAGAGAAAATGTAGTAGAAGAGTCTCATATTCACAAACTACCATACTTGCTTGCTGTTATGAAAGAAACTCTAAGGTTGCACCCTGCTCTTCCGCTACTAGTACCTCACTCTCCAAGTGAAACCACAAGTGTGGGAGGCTACACAATCCCAAAAGACTCTCATGTGTTTGTGAATGTGTGGGCCATTCATAGAGACCCTTCTATTTGGCATGATCCTTTAAAGTTTGACCCTACAAGGTTCTTGGATGCTAAATGGGATTATAGTGGGAATGACTTCAATTACTTCCCATTTGGGTCTGGACGAAGAATGTGTGCAGGAATTGCCATGGCTGAGCGAACCTTTTTGTATTTTCTTGCAACGTTGATGCATTCATTTGATTGGAAACTACTCCAAGGCCATGAGTTGGATATTTCTGAAAAATTTGGTATTGTACTTAAGAAGAAAATACCTCTAGTTGCTATTCCCACTCCTCGATTATCCTGCCCAGATCTTTATGGTTAGAAGAATTTATGGGATAAATTAATCATATAGTGTTTGATATGAGCATCTTTCAAAATCACAAGTCAATGTTGTGAATAAATAATGCATTTATATTGTCATGTTTGGATATTTTATATTATATTTTCTCTTTCTTTCCGGTACATGAAAATATAACTCCATCACATCTTTTTTTTTTTTAATTCTCTTGTCACATTTGAACAAAAATTTCTAAGCTTCAAAGTTCGTTATTTCTGTAAGTTAATAAAACAAATGTTTTCTGAACTAACCAGTCCCATCTTGAGAATACGTATGGAGTGTGCAAAATTTTCCAACCTAATCAAGATATCAAGAAACTTGTTTCCTTTTATCTACTCCCTCTGTCACCACTAATCAAGTCCTTGGTGGAGGGGGTTTCTATGCGAAATAGCAACCTTCCTACGCCATTTATTTTTGCCTGCGTTATCATGAATCTTGTTTTGACATTTTTGGCTTTTATTTATTTTAGGAATTTTGAATGTTTAATTCAGGATAAAACAACTTTTAGTCCCTCATATTTAGAAGTTTTATCAATTTGGTCCATCAATTTTAATTTCTATCATTTCAGTCCCTAATATTTGTTTCAGTTATATGTCAAGTTACTTCTTTAAATTCTATAAAACAAAATAATCCTTAATAAAACGATGTGGAAATTCGATAGTAGATGTGGAATATACTTATATACACATGAATTAAATAAAACACATCAGCTAATGCCAATACATTTTAAATCTAATAAATAAGCACTACTACAGAAAAAGAATTTAATATCATGCATTTTATAGAAATTAAAAAAATGCCATTAACATAAACTCTAAAACACCTCAGGTGGCATTTCCATTTTCAAATTATGCCACCACTTCACAATTATTTTTTTATTTATAAACTTAAAGAACAATAAGAGCTAGTGTTTCTTATATGAAATACCAGAGCTTGTTGTTACTAAACAATAAAGTGGCATTTCAATAAAAAATGCACCTAATAATTATAATTTTAATATTAAAATTAATAATTATATATTCAAACATTACTAATTCTAAAAGTAACAATAATTAGTAATAATTATATATCTAAAAATTTTAAACCTTCAGTTGACTATTCTCAATTTCTATAAAAATAATTTAAAATAAGATAGCTCAATTACCAAAATCTTTAAAAGTAATTTTGTTATAAATATTTAATTAGTACTAATTAGTAAATTTTATCATTATATATTAATTAAAAGATGAGATGTAACATCCCACAATTTAATTCCAAGGTTAAATCAATTAGTTGAGTGGGTCAATCAATCAATCAATTAATTAATTAAGGTGATTAGGAGTTAATAATATGGTTTGGATGGCCATTTAGGTCTAGCGAACTCTCTAATGGGTTGAGAATAGGGGTTGGTAAGTCATAGTTTTATTTTAGGCCTAGATTTTTGGGCTAGAGATGGCAAACGGAGCAATGCACCACGACGGACACAACATAATTTTAAATCCAGAATTTGCTTAATGAAATTGCATACTGAGAAAATTTCTTAGAGTAAGAACATGTAGAATCAATGATGTCCTACTAGGGTTTTGTTGGGAGAATTATTTGGAGCGTTTGGAGCCTCTAAATCTTTGGGTAAGTTTTAAATACCCTTCTCCTACCTCTATTAGTGCACTTTCTATAATTTTTTTCCTGTGCTTAAGTTACAGCCCTCCCTATGATTTAAATGGAGTCTATGGATGTTATTTAATGTTCCTATCATTAGGTCTTGCTGGTTGTTGGTAGCTCTAAATGTTATTAATGAGGGGTTTAAGTTAACCCTAATCTTAAATGATTAAATTTAAGTTAATAAGGGTAGCTAGCATTGATTATTAAACTTATTAGAAGCTAAATAAACTAATGCAAGTTAGTTTTGGTGTTAGTTAGGCTTAATCATACTTAAAGATGGGTTTAGGCCTTAATAATGATTAAGGGTTGATTAATGACAATTAGTCCTTAATGCTATTTTATGGCATTATTTGTAAAGCATAATGTGCCAGAGCTCACACCAGAGGGAAGCTCCCTCAGAAATCCAATGTTACACTCTTAAGGCGGTAAACCTAAGAGTTAAAATAATTGAGAATTTAATTATTGTATATTATTTTATCTACAACTGTGATTATCTGCTATGTAGTCAATAGCTTGAAATGAGAAGCATGGATTTGCTATGGGTTCAGTGAGCTTGAAATTATTCTTATATGATAAGGATGTCTAACCTTACCTTTATGCCATCTTTTGTTTTTGACACTTGGAGTAAAGTGTCAATAAAGCTCTCACAAATATTTTTCTCAACATACATAATATCAAGAAAATGTCTAACATCCAAGATGGTTAGGAGTTTAAAGAAAATGAATCTCTTTTTTCATTTGCTTGTCTCAAGGTGCCTTGCAAAATGTTTGTCGAAGTCAATATCCAAATCCATTATTTTTTCAAATAGCTCATTACTTCTTAACAGCAAAGGTGGCTTGCCTTTTTATGGATTTCCATTGAAGGCTTTTCTTAATCATTGATAATGATGTTCTTGATGTAAAAACCTACAATGTTTGAGATAAACATTCTTCATCTCATGTTGTAGCCTCATGAAATGTGTGCCTTTTTCACAAATGGAGCATTCAAGTTGTCTTTTAATACTATACCTTGACACATTACTATAGGCAAATTTTTGTGTATCTACAAACATCTAATGCCAATACATTTCAGATTTTTAAGATTGGATTTGGGAGGGAGAAGAATTACATACTTGATGCATGAAGATGGAGTCTGGAGTTGAGAGAAAGAAGCATCCACAGACATTGTATCAGACTTAGTTTGAAAGGGATGGAAGCACGTTTAATCCAAATGGTTGTTTTATTTTCTTAAAAATGTTTTTTACTATCCATGTCAACTTACTTGTCACATCATTATTCCGTTAGCCATGTCAGCATAATTTAGATATGTTAGTTTCTATCATAAGATTAAGAATTATTTACATAAATTCATGAAATGTTAAGGACAGAAATAATAGAAATTAAAAGTTGAGTAACCAAATCAATAAAAGGAGAATTTCATTATAGGACCATTGATTGGACATTATATCAAATTAGGACCAAACTTCAAAAACTCACTGCAGGACCAAAGGACTTAATTGAAGATATGTTTTGAAGGGAAATGACCATAATGCCTTTTATGGTTTTAACAAATAGCATTAGTGAATTAACAAGTTAGGATTTTAACAAGTCATTAAAATTGAATTTACTATTAGGATTGAATATATAGAGAGTAGTATCAACAGGTTTTACAATTAAATTAACAAGTGGCATTAGTGAATTAATAAATAAAGTTAAGATTTTAACATTGATTAATTAAGGATATTGGCAATGAGTTTTGCTAGTGAATAATTAATAAATGGCATTATAGTCATTTTCCTTTAAAAACATATTTTCATTTTAGTCCCTTGATCCTGCAGTTGTTTTATTCCTTTAATTTTACAATTTGATTCTATTTAATTACTCGGTCATCAGTTCTTTTGTTGCCTTTTCTTTTTTAATTTTGTTGAAATAATACCTTTGCTAGAGATGCAATGATGTAATATACATTCATATTGATTTATGGGATGATGCGTATATTAAGGGATAACATTCTTCTTGGTGATATGAATAAGTAAAACCGAGTAATTTGTCTCTCCTTAATTAATTGAATGCTAATTGATCAGTTGGTTGATTTCTTTCGTAAGGATATCTAAATTAATACTACATTCTAATTAATCAGAATGTTTAATGTATCTCAATAATTATATGAAGAAGCATCAAACGAGCTGATAATTTTGTAGATGAGTTTATCATGTTATACTTATAGGGTATACGTATCTAATATGATTGGAGGTAGAGAGTAACAGTAGCAGAGCCCAGCTTGAAGAAAATTACACATTTAGGAGCACAAGTTTTTCATATTTTGCATTAATATTTTAATCCAGATGGCGAATACCATGCTGCAAATATAGGAATGTGTTCTTCGAATTGGGTCTCTAAGGGCCTGCTTGTTTTTTTGTTTTTAAAAATTGTTTTTTGTTTTTAAAATTTTTTTTATTTTTAAAAATAAAAAAATTTAAAAATTTATTTGAGTAAGTGTTTTTTATTTAATTGTTTCCAAAATTGTTTTCAGTTTTTTACTTAAAAACAAAAAAAAAGAATAGAAATAATTTTAAACTGTTGTTGTTTATTTTTTATTTTTAAAATACATTACATTTGATTATTAAAAATTATAGTTACCTCGACTAATTTTTATTATTAATTATTATCACTAACTGTCTATAACTGTCACTATCAATTCATCTTTTAATTCTAAAACTATTTTTTAATTGATATAACTAAATAAATTTTCAATTTATTTTATTTTGAAAAATAATTTTAAAAACTGTATTACAAAACATTTTTTCTTTTTTAAAAAAAATGAGAACAGAAACGAAAGAGACCCTAAGCCTCCATCTCCTATGGTTTCTTTCTTTGATTAGGATATGATCACGATGTTGATGCATGCATAGAGGACTCATTTGCCTTTGGATTTCCTTTCTCTGTTGTCCATTTATTTTTGTTTTGATGGGTTTGTGTTTAACCTTAACTATTTGGTACTTCTTTTATTAATTTCTTTTTCTTTGGCCAATAAAAAACTAAAAGAACAAGTAATCTTTTCTAAGCGCCATTGGCGAACATTTTTTCTGGCCAGTAATAAACATTTTCATCTAATATATGGAAATGGCATTAATATTGATTGATATAAAATGATTTTAAATTTCCATTGAATTAATAATGGCATAATTCAGGGCAAAAAAATTGACACGATTTTAAAAAGTGCAAGTAAAAAAATAATTTAGAATGCAGTTTAAATTTTATTAGTAAAATACAGGCAGCCAGGGTTGGAAAAATCCTACACCTCTAAAGAGTGGGCCTGGTTTAGTCTACACCTGCTAGCCCGCAACCTGTGAGCTGGCCATTTTTCTAGCTCTAACGTGCTTCATGGCAAAGCATAAGTATGAAATTGATAAGACAATCCACTAAAAATACAGAAAAACTGATAAAAAGTTTCAAAAGAATTA